AGACCTTTTTTGACTTTGGTAATCCACATCTTCATTGCAATTATCTCACTCTCCCTGTCTTAAGCTGATGATACACGGAGCAACTTTTAGAGCAATCGTGCAGGGCAACGTTGCCGTCAATTATAATGAGTAAAAATTACTACCGTAATCCCCTTCCCCCACCACTCCGCCACCAGCCCCGCACCGCCGCCATCCGTTCAAAACATAGTCGGACTTGCCACTAGCAAGATTGCCCAGCAGCATTACTCACAAAGTTGCCCCGTGTATCATCAGCTTTACCCCAGTAAGTTCCAAAGGATTTACTCAACAGTAGTGTCGTAAAAATACATTTAGACATGATGGCAATTAAAATGCAGATTGCCTCACCTGTCTCCTATATGCATATCCCATTTACCTGCCTTCATTCCTCTTTCCCTCTTTTGTCCTTACGATCTATGTCTGCTCTATTTATCTTATCCAAATATATGTCACAACATAAAATGTTATTCGTTTTTCATATGTATAGCCATTACGGAAAACACATGAAAGACACATCAGTGTGTGTGTATGTGATGTGATGCACGAAAAGGCTACAGGCTAGTGAATTATGAAATATTGTAGCTGTAGAGCAGTAATTTATGTCCCTCCTATCTCATTCTTTATTGGTCTCATAGTGACTACAGTATGAATATTTTTGCCTTACAGCATATCGAGGACAGGGTCATGTTTGCATAAGGAGGTAAATTACGACACCAATAACAGTGTCGGCGTGCCAGGGAGACGTGGGAGGAGGGGAGGATGAGGGAGCGAGTGGAAAACAGGGAAGGGCTCACACATGGACCAAGGTGAGGGAAAAAACATTGGCAGGTAAAACACAAATTTAAAATAAAAATCAAGGAAATAAAGTTTGACTGGTCTCTTTTCTTTGAGTGACAAAATGCAGTAAGATGACTAAGACTTTACGCACCTTGAGCAACAAGAAACATTTTCAGACTTCTGTAAGTGATTCACCGGTGAGTGTGAGTCATGCTGTCTGACTTTGCTTTGCTTCTGTGATACTTGTGTGATTAAAGATCGGTAAGGCCTTGAAAATGCTGTTTTCTGTTATCTTTTAATATGCCGACTTAAAAGTATTGAACTTTCTTCTCTTTTGAAGTGCTGTGAAAGTACTCATCCTCTGAAAACCTCACAAATCACTTTCAGACAATTCTTTTTGTGCAACTTTATACAGTACTTCTACTCCACTACATGTCAGAGGGCAGTCTGCATCTCTTTAGTTGCCTTTTATATGAAGCAATCAAAGATGAATTTTTGCTAAAACCATTGAATTTCAAACATTAATATATCTTTGCTATTTTGCTCCATATATGCATCTATTCTTATAAGTATTTCAATGTTTTGCAGCATGGAGAACTTCACTTACATGTGAGGGAGTTATTATTTCTCACTTGCATTGTGGTGCACAAACAAAAAAAATTTGATGATGAAGGCTCAACATTCGCATCAAAAGGTGAAGTCCTGTGCATATATTTTTTCAATTTTATTCAAAGCCATGAACCTTGAGTATTCCATGGAGGTATAGAGAACTCGAATGGTTTAATTTTTACACAGCTTCACTTTTACATGAGGAAGTGAACGACAAGAGTTTGGTGGGTGTGCAAATGTGCTAAAAAAAAACCTGGACTTTGAGGCAGTGTGATGTTCAGGTCAGCCCTTTATTTTCCCACAAGGAAAAAAATAATAAAAGGTTGCACATCATTTTCAGAAACCTATATCTCTGCCCTGTGGGGAGGATGGCAAATTCTTTAGATAGAGGATGGCCCATATTTGCTATGATGGATTCAGCTTTCTGCATGATTTGCAGACTAAAAATGTCTAACAGAGTGGGCTGTTGCTTACTACTAATTTTTAATTTGCTGTTGATTCCTGTCTTGCATATTTAAGTTAATCTATAAACAAATCATCAAGATGGTCAGGACTGATTCTGTAATGAATCTGTAAAATAACACCTGCAACTTCCTGTAAACATTAAAAACCTTATCCCACACAAAAATTCCAGATGTGGGTGTGAATAATTATTAACTTAAATTCATTCACAAAGATCTTGTAACAAAAGGGGGTGTACAGATAAAAACTAGACAATAATAAGATATAAAAGAACAAGTATGTCACAAACTCCAGAAAATAGGATCAGATGTCCTTATTTACTGTAGCTCTTTTTAGACTTAGTGTACTCACTGTCTGTTACTGATTGTTGATAACATGTGGATCCTTACGCGCTTATACAACAAAGAGATTGCACTTCAAACCTGAGCTTGTCATGTCCAACAGTGAGTCACAATAACCATATATGAGTTAAAATAGAAATGAAGGTAAATAACCCAATTAAGACAAAGCATCACAAGTGATCCAAAATGGGTACATTTTTAAGCCATGATTTTCAATGGGCAGAGATCAACAAATAAACATAGTGTTAAAAACACCATAAATACAGTACACACCTAACAGAGAAGAATAAACATGTGGATAAAAATCTGTTTTTCCAGCCAGTTGCTCTCCACAGTGACATGGGTACTGTGTGCTCTGATATATAGTCATGCATTACCACATTATTTTCCCCAGCTCTTTTGAGCGCCAGATCCTGCTGCCCCGCTGTCTCTCAAGGTCTCTCTCTGTCTGCTCTAGCCAAGGTCACTTGCGCCGCTGCAGGCTCCTTGCAACCTTGAGCGGCCAACTGACCGGGAAATGTGTGTTCTCCCGTTCCATCACCTACGTATCCCATGTCAATTAGCCAGCTACACAGCAGGGCTGACATTAAATGTTTCAGCATGCTGCCACTTGGACATTAAGTCTAGAGAATGTTATTGGTGGAAAAAAATCACATTCGCTCAAGGCCATGCAAGAAATTAAAAAATGTGCAGGTAAACTAATTAACGAGTCAAGATGACAATGTGTGTTTGCGTGCGTGTGTATCCATGTCTAATCAGGGAAAGAGCTCAAACGATTCTTAATCAATTATCAACAGGCCTTGAAAAATTGTGATAGAGGTTTTGCAATAACACTATATATGTGTATACATATAAATATAAGTAGACAGTATATGACTTTCCAATTAACAAGGCTCTATACTAAAAGCTTTTTAAATAAAGCCAAGCCACAGAGTGCTACAGAGCATTAAAGCCACAATAGTGAGAGTGTATCTGGGACCTTGGCTTTGATATGAAATCTCGTGGCCTTGCCTTTACCGCCCTCCATGTTAAAAGCTCTTTGTGACAAGGAAATTACTTTATGAACCTCTGAAAGACGCTCCAACAAAACCTCCCTGTTAGTTTCATCTCTAGGCCATGAGAGAAGTGCATTTTTTCCTCCATTTTTTAAATCACTGCACCTTCCCATTCGTTTAATCAGTCTTTGTCCCTGCCTCTTATTTCATTGCTTCTCCTTCACTCTTTGACTTTAGTTTCTTTTTTCTATCAGAGAAAAACTACTACTAATTACAGAAATAAAAAAATATATCTTATTTGCCCTTCTATTTATATTGTTTTTGTACCCAAGTAAACCACAGTTGAGATATTTGTCAATCTGTATAGGCAAATCATTTGCATAATTTGGTGAAGTTGAGGGTCTGTGAATAAATATTCACAACCTATGTTTGTAAGATACTGCAGTACATAGCTTTACCTTCAGTTCACAATTCTTAAAATCAGTTGGAACAAGAGGTCTGTTTTTCATTTTACCAAGGTCTGTGGAAATCAGTTTGTTTGAATGTGCTCACACTGTAGGGCTTGGCATTGGGTGAATCATATTTATGTGTGAGTGTGTTTTTGTTTAGGTCTGTAAGGATTCGTTTCCTTTAACATGTACCTGGAATGTTCAATCCGGATAGAAGCAGAAATACCAAACATGTGTCTCTGCGGCCTTGAGACTTCACAGGGCTCCGACTGCAGCGCTCAGCTCGGTAAACATAGTTTCCTCCTGTGGCTCTGTGTTTGGACAGGAAACAAGGAAGCTGATCAAACATTGGCTCACAAGGCCACGGTTGGACTGAGCTGGTATGGAGTTGTGGGTCTTTCAAAGCACGTTAAATAGGGGGAAATGTGAAAAAAATGTCACTTTAAGTGTGCAAATCCACAGGTTTGCAGCCCTGCTGAGTTTCTCATTTGTTAAACTGCAATATTTTCCCAAAATAAATCATGCAGTGCAGATAACCTGATCACAAGCTTGTATTTTGTTTACATAGTAGAGGAACCAGTATCACATACGCCAAATTTGTTGTTAGTGCCCGACTGCCTGCATGCTACAGATTTATAGCCCAGTCCTGATGACATCATAGATTAGCAGTAGCAGGGTGCAGATGGATAGATGTTGGGTAATGGAGGGGAACAGACAGTGAGGAAGAGTAGGAGGATTAAATCAAAAGGAGTAAAGGTGTGTGTCAAAGTCATTGGGGTTAATAAGTTGGGTGATGATGCTTCCCCCTTGTGACTGTTTATTAAACTGCAGACTTAGCAATAAGTAGCAATAATAATAATAATAATAATAATAATAATAATAATATAAAATAATAATAATAATAATAAAAATAATTGGTTCGATGCACAACAACAACTATTTGCGTTGGGCTTGTTTGTCAGCTGTATGGCCAACTCAACATGTCTCATACTTCGCTGAAAAGTCCATCCTCATTTCTGCACAGTGAAGGTCAAACATCCAAGTGAAGTAACAATTAGCAAAATACATTTTTGAGCTGTGAACCTCACAGCATGAGTTTATTCCGTTTAAATACACAAAAGTGGATTTAAGTATTAGTAGTAGTATCAAAAGTATTTTTTTAAGTAGTTTCTTAAATGACAGGGACACCATGTTCTTCTGTACAAAGAGACATGACGTGAAGAAATTATTAGACATGAAAAGTGTTAATCATTATTCAAAGATGTGGCCCTGGCCAGTAATACAAAAAGAAAGAACAAGATGTTGTTGATGATGTGCTGTTCTGTTAGAAATGAAGAAAAAAAGAACTGTTTGAATTTTCAGTTCCTATTTTTATTGTCCTTTTAGAAAGTGACAACAGCATATCACATGCGCATACTCTAACTGTTTTTATTACCATACCATAAGTATAGCACACTCTCCTGGTAATTGCTAATCACAACAGCTTATAAATTAAGAAAATTAATGAAATGCCGTCATCAGTTTCATCTTAATTGCCGGTGATTGAACTAAAACAAAAGGGAGAAGTGGTTGGTGAGACCGTTGACATTGGGGTTACTGTTCATTCTCTGTGAGCTGCTCCCTGGATGACTCATTCGAAAACTGCAGGAAGGGAGTGCTGATCTCACTTGACTGCATGTCACCAGCCACTCGCAGCAGGCAACTGAGGACCATGTCCTTAGCCATGCCAGCCTCCAAGTTCCCTTCCCGGCTCAGCTGCAAAGTGATCTGGTCTAGGCTTGTCAGGACTAGCTCTGAGCCCAGCAGAGGGCAAATTGGGCCCGGGTCAGAATCCGAACCAGGGCCCCGCTCTCTGGCCATGTTCTCCATCATGTATTGCTGGTACAAATCCAAGAGCTTCTGCTCAAGATAGTGATTTAGAAGAGAGTTGGAGAATGGACCTTCACGCCCCTGGAACAAAAAGCTCCGATCACGGCCACTCCCCATTCTCCAGCGATTTGAACCTCCCCTCGGTGGATGGGGAAGTCCACCCTGAGATGTCTTTCCTGGGGGAGAATCCTCCACAGCTGGAGGGACATCACAGGACTGGAGGAAGGGTCCAACAGCCTGTGCATCAGTACAGAGCCGGAGCTCACCATCATTGGCTGTAAGAGGCAGCACCTGGTCGCCTCCAATATGGAGGTCGCTGTAATTTTGGCAGATGCTCTGACAGAAGGAAGGAACCAAGAATGGGGAATCACCCCCTGAGTGAGCCTGAGCTGGGATCTCTATCTCTGAAGAGATCTGTCTGCCTGGCTGGACTCTGTGGAAATCCAAGGACTGCAGTGGAGAAATGTGCAACTCCAATGAAGCACTCCTGTTGTCTGCACAGTCTGTCTGCACGGGGGAATTATGATGAATGAGTAGAGCGTGTCTGGTGGAGCCTGCCATGAGGGTAGCAGGTGTTCTCGGCAGCCCATAAGCACTCTGGAGAGCCTTCTGAGGTGGGAGGGGTTCCAACAACTCCAATTCACCATAGGTCATGCTCAACAATCTGCCTTCACAAAGCATGGCTGCAACAAAGAGCACATACTCAGAAGCTGTGAGCCGAGTTATAAAAATACACAGCAGTATTCAACATGTGATACGATGCAACAACATAAATGTTTTAGTAATGTTTATTTTTATATAGAGAGAGAGAGACACATGCAGTATATACAGTTGAAGTCAAAAATTTACATACACTTCGGTTGAAGTCATTAAAACCTAATGTTTTAACCACTCCATAGATTTTATGTTAACAAACTATAGTTGTTACAGTAGTTTACAGACAAATTATTTCACTTATAATTCACTATATCATACTGAGATGTGCCCTTTATCCTAATACAAAAAACTTAAGTGATTTAAAAATTGATAAAATTACCAGAAAACTCAATGATAAACACCAGATCATCTATGACTTTATGAATGATCCCTCAATCCCTCTTCAAACACTCTTTAAACCGAGTCTAAACTTATCTAATTCATGATCCATTTTTATTTCTGTGTGTAACAAGGTCAACATATTGATCACCTGAACAGAAAAAGACATCTGTCCAAAGAAGGATTTACGAAAGGGCACCTTATCATGCATAAAGATAAATTATATTCCTACCTTCGACCACAATCAAAGTCTCTCAGTCGGCTTTCACCTGAGGGTGCACTGTGTCCTCCCACAGTCTTTATCACAGTAGAGAACTTCTTATAAACACTGCATTTTCTGCCGATATAGCCTACCAAAAATGTATACTGTAGATCTGCATGATTAACAGTGTGCATTCATGTGCGAGGTTTGTTTTATACCACCCCAAGAGGAAGTGGTATAAATTTCCCAATTCTGCAAACCTGTGCTGCAGCTGTGTAAATCCTGTATATATATTTCAACACATCATCTTGCAGACATCTTACAGACAGGCTGAACATATTCCCCTCAAGTTCTTACTTATGTAAATTCATCTACAGCCTTACTTAAGAAAGTACCTACCTCTGCATTACTTTGTCTCGTTGCCAGGAAGTGAAATGGCAGATGTTCTATTCTTAAAAACATAAAATAAGCTACAAAAAGAAACCACAGAAGTTTTGTTTCCTTGTAAAAGAAACAGGTGTGATTTTAAGCAGAAAAACAGCCATATTTAATATGGTAAAATATCAGGAAACAGAGAGTTTGACAAGTACCAATTCCTGTTTTCGTTTTCTGATAGGCCCTACCACAAATTCCTCAGTTACCTCTCTGTGAGGACAGTTAGGAGCTCCTAGCCTTGCTCCTCCTGTTATCTGTGCCCCTGCCAAAGCAGGAGTGTGACTTCATGCTCAGTTATGTAACCACAACTCATCATTTCCTCCTTGAAACTTAATGTTGAACTATCCAAGTAACTTTGTCTGAGACCTTGGGATATACTTTATTTTACCAGTTGTGAAATGTTATCTCTTTCACAGGAAAAACATGGAGAGATCTAAATCAGTTACCTGGTGAAACGTTCAGGCTATGTTTATGACCAGGATTCATCTGAGATGAAAGTACTTTGTATGCATATATGACTTGCTTCAGTTAAGACTCTTGAACTCAGACTTTCTCCACTTGCAGCAGGGAAGCCCAACAATAGAAGCGCATGAAACACGAGACAACATATTTTATTATTAATTAGGTGAAGAAACCTCGACATTAGTCAACATGAACTTTATAAGTTTGTTACACCATCCAGGTTATTCCGACAATTCAAATAGTACCTATTTTGATCTGTAGTTTTCATATAAAGACAGAAATTGGAACAGTTTAACCCATCCACAGCTTAGCTTAGTTTTCCTGTCCTGTCTAAAAAAGAATTTATTAACATTACAATTTAAAGCCCAGAGTTTGTTGGATTGCTGGCTGTTGTTGTCCACTAAGTCACGTATGAGTCAGGATATCTGACACAGGGCTGCTGCTCAGGAGTAACAGTAGCACAAAGTGTAGAGTTACCGACCCGTTGCTACAGCAATGTTGAGATCAGGTTAGGCAAGAGACTCAGTCCTGCTTTTGTGCCACAATAGAGTAGCTGTTTGGTAACTTCAGCACCCTGGACAGCAGTGAACAGCTCCAGTCAAGTTTTTGTTTGTTTTCAGAAATACTGGCTGGCCTGAAGAGACGAATATGGACAGAAGTTTCACAAACACTAAGGAATCTAAGGACAAGCCTGTAACCCTGAAAGACTCAGCTTAGAGGAATGTTCAGAAAGATTAATAACGTGTTCCGTCCTAACCATCATGGACACAGATCGCGTGATGGTGGTGGGTTACGGTGCGAACAGGACTACCACAATGCCTGCACCGTCAGGCTGGTACGCAGCACCTCCATGCTCGTGGTGGGAGAGAAAACTCAGGCAGCTGCAGGCTCAACTTTGAAACGAAGCAAAAGTACAGTGAGCATCGAGTCGACCTTGTACTATTATCAGAGACAAGAGGACAGGATATGGCTCTACTCTCACAATCAGAACTGCCTGGAGTACTTGGAGGCGCTGGTGGCTCTGAGACGACAATACACAAAGAGTGTGAGTAACTTGAAAAGTAATGATACCATGGCCACAGTGTCCTCCAAGAAGAAGCCCGCACCCCCGCCGCCTCCTACAAAGGAAGAACCGGTAAGCTTATATCATCTTTCCCAGAACACATGGCAGGCAATATCAAAGACAAATGTTCTCCCATTTAATAACCACAGATATCAAGAGCCAAACCGTCCGCCCCTCCAGCCCCCGACGAGGAGAACACTTTGCAGTTCTTTGATGCAGTCATCGCCAGCTGTGACAGTGAGCCAATGCGCAAACCATATCTGGATGATGGACATGCAGATGTCGACTTCATAGGTGAGTTTGAAATCTTCTTTATGGTGACAAAAGAAAGTAGATGGTAGAAAGTAGAATGCTGGAGAAACTAAGCAGATTTACTCAAGTGCTGTAAGTTTGTATGTGCAAAATATAAGATGATTTTATAAATATGATGTACTGATTTACTTAAAACAACCCAACAGAAGATAGCAAAAGTATTCCCGTCGTGACGAGCTACAACGTATAAAAATTGTAGCTTGCTTGTCAAGGCATTAATAATAATTAGCCAATGATATATTATATAAAACTCCTCCTTCAGAGGAACAGCAAAGAGCCACTGGTACACATATGTGGATGACAAAAGGGTCAAAATTAAAACCCAGGAAGTGCAAGCCTTTACAGAACACATTGACTCGGTGGACAGTAGCATCAAATTCACACAAGAGGATGTCAGCAACAACAGTTTCAGGCTTTCTTACACTGTGCCACACACATTGAAGAGTAACCAGGACCCCACACCACAGAGCTGATAACATACTAACAAATGCCCACAACCATGACTCAACAAAGACAAGCCAACTCCTCAGGTCATGACTCAGCGGTTTACTTACATCTAAAGGATAAGGGACACTCTTTTGAGAACAACGTTCATATTCTAGATAGGGAGGAAAGATTGTTTAAAAGAAGAGTGAAAGAAACCATTAACACCAGAGTAGAGAAACCACCTCTCAACGGGCAGAGGGGCTGAGGCGCCACCTATCCCCCACATACAACGCTGTCCTTTCATCCCTTCCATGGAGATTACACAAACATTCACATTTGGCCCCATGTGACAGGTTGTACAGACTTGGCCTAAGGTGCCTCCAACGACCATTACAACTGTTGTTGCAACATAAACTTGATAACAACCGCACAGAGGTTAAATAACTGGGACTCCCTGCCAGTTATTCAAAACTGAAGAAGCCTCTTGGGTGAGAGGCATCTTCGTCTTTGAGTATCTTCAACCAAGCAAAGTTGACATTGATTTGAACCTTTCTTGGATAATGGATCTGAATATTTCTTCCACCACTCAGGATAAGAGACGCATAGTAATTTAAATATATTTACTCAAAAACAGTGCCTGATTATGCTTAAAGCCCCTGCACACATCCATGGTACACCCACGCAGATGTCAGTGTGTACAAATTAAGCCTTATTGACATCTCTATCACTTTCTTATGAGTTCTGTTGCATCTGTCGAGATTAATTACACCTTTATCAAATTCATTAGAACATCATGATTGATGATATCATGTAATTCCTTGCAACTTGAGCAGAGGTCAAATCAACCGGAATTAAAATACTGTGGTGTCTTCCAAGCACAACATGCATTTTACTCCTTTGTCAGTTAAAAAAAAATTTACAATGCTATATATCAGGCTAAACATATACAGAAGTACTAGTAGTAGTTTGTGGCAGTATAGTAGTAAAATTGTAGCTCCACCTGGACCAGCAACAGCACTAAAGCGCTGTTTACAGGTTAATGTATCAATTATGTATAACACTCTGACAGTGTCTTTTTACTTGTGATGCATACATAGTTTTGCTGCAGTTAGCTTTACTTAAATGACTTATAATGGAATATTATAACATTGTTATACCACTACTTTTGCTTAAGTTAAATTTTGTTTTAAAAAGCAGACGTTTTGGCTTATCTTTGCAAGTAGAGCAAGTAAGAGTCAGTAAGCAAACATATGCCATAGCCATGAACTGAATGCAGCCACTGTTAGTCTTATTTACTACGCCTCAGCTTCTCCTGCTATGACATGTTATAATGTATGCTGTGAATGTCTATTGTTCTTCCACCACTGGTTAGAAGTCAGAGCCGAGTGCGGTTAAGGATTGGGAAGACCGAACATAATTTGTAAGATACTCATTTAGCTATTTAGCCCCTGCTCTTTTTGGGCCAGCTGATTATGGATATAGGGTCTTCAAGGGAGTTAAAGCTACCGGTCTCAAAATGACCTCCTGCCTTAACTCGGGTCCTCGCTCTCTGCTCTTCTCTCCCACAGTGGCCTCCAGCTCGGCTGAACACGACCTCCATTCTAACTGGGTCTTGCGCGTTCCTCGAGCTGCAGATGGCTCCAAGCAGACAGCGGTTCGTGACTGTGCCAATAAAAGCGTCCCGAAGAAGAAAATCCAGAGTGGGTCCACATGCAGCAGACTGCAGCTGCAGAGGAACCCGATCCATCTGCCCAAAGTGGTGGAGAGCGCATTCCAGACTCTGCGCTTCAAGCCCAAATTAAAAAAGTAGTGAAGCCTGACATTTGAAACCAGCAGCACTGCTGAGGTAGAACTCAACCTAGTTTGTATGGACAGACACGATGCTCTGAATTAAACAAGAGAAATGTTCAATATTGTGATGGGTATGGAATTGAACTGCAGAGAGACTGCCTTATTTCGATGTATCAATGCCAATGGTAAAATGCAACCAAGTCCTTCCCAGCAATAAGCTGAAAGGTAAACACACGCCTGCACGAATGCCTTTTTCATTTAAGAGCGAGGTTTAGGCTCAAGGGCTGAGTTGACTGAATACTTCAAAACCAGCTGAAGTTATTCTGCTCATCATTACCGAAGTTAAAATGGTCTCAATTTACCCAACTAAGAAAAACACATTTCCTGACTTTATGGTATCTAGCACTGCTGATATTTCAGGATTTATTTTCCTGGGCGCTGAGATATTTGTCACTGAAATTTCTGACACAAAGGGGGTGAATCTTTTTGTAGTGCTAACAGCATTGAAATTTAAATAAACCCTGAACTATCTGCATGCTTAGATACCACTGAGGGTAAGAAAAAACATCTTTGTTTAATTTAGACCATTTACTAAAGTCTAAAAATACTAAAAGCCCTTAATTCACAATGTACATAAGTATTATCAGCAGTTTGACTCATATGCAGAATGGCTTCCAAAGTGTTACATTATTGTATATTATATTCTGTTTTTATCACTACAAATACATGAAAGAGTATTTTAATGTTGTAGTTCATGAATGTGAAGCCAATTTTAGATACAGTATACTACTGTTTACATTAATAGTATAGTACTGCATCATATTAGTGTATTATGGGTTTTTTTGTAAAATTCATCTGAAAAGTAAGTAAGTTTAGTTGTTAAACACAGTAAAAAGTACAATATTTCCCTCTGAAATGTAGTGGAGTACAAGTATAAAGAAGGAGGGGAGTGACAAGACACTTGGCTCATGAGACAAGACATGACATTGGGTTCATGAGATTGAGACTAGGCAAGATTTTAACACAATTTTTTAGAAATCTTCAGTGCTGAATTATGTGAACATTTTGAGCATTAAATACTTTATTTCCTGCATTATGGTGAAAATGTTTTGGTTTATGTAAAGAGAAACACAACATTCAGGAGGCATGTCACAATTCCAAGTATTGAACTATAACAGAATATAATACAGTAAGGCTCTCAGGTATCCTGTATTGCTTTCAAGTATTATGTTTCTCCTGTAACATCATCCCTGCTGAGTGAGCTCACATGCAGGTATGATTTAATCTTCCTCCTCTTTAGAGTTGTTTGTGAAAGTAACCTCTTTAAATGTGACTGTGGCACCTTTTCACCTCTGTGACAAATTATTTCATTTTAATTCAGTTAGAAACTCCTGGGCTTTAATAGCTCCTGTGTTTCAGCAGGTTATCTCCCACATATCGGTGTTCTCTGACATGTCCAGAGAAAAAGTGGTGATATTACGAGACTAATACCATCACTTAATGAGAAATCATAATAATTTTAAGTCTACCTGCATTACGTTATTGCTCTGCTGGTAGTATCCCCTTCATACTGTTTGGAAAAGGACACTAACTGACTAACTTCTGTGATTACTATCAAAGTGTACGCCGGTGTCACATCAGCTGTGCGGAGTTGATTCAATCCCCAAGTCAAAATTATCAGTTATACATTTGTTTTTCACTGCATGAGAAAATTGATGTATGGCGTGAGAGCTTTGGTCAACTGCGTGAGTCTCGTGAGACAGCTTTTAGCCTGACGAGAGATCTCGTCACACCCCTACAGAGTGGCATGCAATACTCAAGTATTCAAATGTGTCCTTAAGTACAGTTCTGGAGTAATGCTCTTAGTTACATTGCACCACTGGTAAGCTGGCCCTTAAATCATATTGCAGCATGCTAATACTTATAGCAAAATACAAACAGTAATAGTAATGTTAGAAAAAATGATGCTAAATGACTTGCCATTATTCCTTTTCCCTCATGCTCATCTCAGTGAGTCACTATGTCTCATTCCCACCATTTAAAATGAAAATCATGTCAAATCCATTTTTTTTTCTTTATTACAAATGCGTCATACAAAACCAGTAACTATATACTCATTCATTTCTTTTCTGCTTTGCCCTTGGGGCTAAAGAAGGATGACATAGTCTTCATGCCAGTCTTGTCTACCTTAGCCAGACTTTTCTGAGCAGCAGTCATCTTCTTGGGCGGCTGAAATGGGGGGGGGGGGGAATCAATCAATGTCATCTCTCAACAACTTTACACAGACAGCAGGGAATTCATTGCATATCATGAACATCAATTCAAGCTGAGAGAAAAAACATGTTTGCACAAGGTAAGCCCCTTTGACCTGTGTGTATACGCTACAGACAAAGCGTATAGAAAGCGGTCAACAAACAAGAGCTACACTAACAATCACTCAAGGTGATGAAGAAAGAACACAGATTCCTCCAATAATTGTTTGGTCTATTCAGGCAGACTTCTCTGTATACACTCACTTTCCGCGCATAGTCTGCACTGTTGAATTTGGTGTAGTCCTCTCCGGCCTCCACCGGTTTGTCTGAAAGTTTCCGCTTCTGCCAAACGAGGAAGTAAGATATGCTTTTCATGACAAAGAGCAGCAAACGTTTTAGCACAGAAACACCACTACGAGCTAGGTCGACGTCACACAGTCACTGAAAAAGCCTCTTATAACCCATGTTAAAAACAAACAAGCACACCACCTGATCATATATATATGAAAATGCAACACTGTTAGAGTGAGGTGGAGGACTACAGCAAACATGCACGGTGATTTCGACAGCATGCAGAGAGAGAAGAGAATATGCTATGCCGAATTCATTCACTTCTAAGAGAGACACTAACATACTTTGGAAGGAGGTTCTGTCTCCTTTGGGCTTGTGAGTTCTGGTAACCTGTGAAGTAGAATAAGAGGCATACTGAATCTGCATCTCCACCATACCTTAACACAAACAATGATCATAACTTGCAAGTGTTGGATGTCTGAACTTACTGCAAGTGTCTGAAGAGGGCTTTGCTCAGGTCTTCACTGATATACTCTGATATCAGGCCATGGGCGTAACGCAGGTAGTCCTCTGTACCATAAAGATGAGACAATGACAGTGCCAGTTTTGCCAACTAGCAATATATTCCAACTTTATGTTTAATATAGTTTGAAGTTGGGGAAATGTTGTTTTAGGATTACACCCCACAGATATAAACGATGCAATATTACTGCCATCTATTGGTCAACATCCTCCCTGCTGAAGAAAAATGTGAATATAAAAAGAAAGGAAGATAAAAAAAAGAAACTTTGCGCATAACATGTTGCCTTTCATAGGAAGGTGAGACTGGAATTTAACAAGATGGGGTTTGTCCTAAACAGTGAGATGGTCTGAAGATGAACCAACTTACCCTCATGGTAGTCTGACTCTGACTTTACTCTGATGTATGTTGAGGATTTGACTCCTTCTCCCACAGAGATATTTCTCGCTTTGAGTGCGAGGACTGTCCTCTCTACCTACACCAACAAGTCAAAGAAAAACAAAAAAAAGCAGTTCAACTGTGTGAAACCAACAGTGCATTTTTACATGAACACACAGTTGTCTTGATATTTTTACAGTAAAAATAACTTGCACTGGACAAGCACACAATGACATTTTTGAATTTCATATAAAATAGTGATGATGAGAACTTTAGAGTACCTTTTTCTTCAACCAGTTCATTGTCTTCTCTGGACTGTAACGATGAAACTTCAGTTTTCCCACCTCTGTTAAGTATGAAATGCAGCATTTAAACAAAGCAATCAGCACCAAAGTTTAGATATATTGGCTTCAAAGTTAAATGTTACCTTTTTCCTCAGCAACGTGATGCAGGGAGGCCAGGGAGCGTGTGCAGCTCAGCAGCCTTGAACAAGCTGGGAATTCCTCATCCATAACAACTTGATCTACTGGCTGGAACTTCCCCTGAGAAGCAAATGACAGGGGGAAAAAATGTAAAACATATATTGTGACTTTAATGTGTGAGGTTTAAGTTAGAAAATTTAAATGACTAAATTCAAGTAATTTTTACAGCCATTCATATACTGCTATGGTTATATTAGAGACACAATATTGCTGTTCTAGTGTCAATTAATATGGTAAGATGGCCACCACTTTTATTTGTGATGAAGTCACAATTAATTTTAATTAATTAATTTAGTCAAATATTCTGGTACCAAACCCACAGTCTGCTGATAGTCCAGTAGTGAGTTAACACCTTCTGATGACTCTAAAACGAGTCTTACATCCATGTTGTATCTTGTTTATATGACTGAACACTTCCTGAAAAAGAACGTCCACTTCTTAGTGCCATTTCTTCATAGCATCTCCAGCTACAGTAGGTGCAGCCAGATACTCTATGTGAGCAGCACAGGTGAAAAGAATTAGCAACCTGGCAATTTGGCTTTGAGAAGAATCACAACGATGCAACCGTATAATGAAGACTGACGTTTTGAAATGTTGCTCCTCGTGGTTGTCAGTAAAGAAGCAGTTTCAACACATAAACCAGAATGTGTCATTTTAACATTTGTTTTGTGTGCGCTAAATGAACAAAATACAACAAAACAGGTTTGGAGTTGTAAGAAGTCTTATTTTATATCTTTATAATTGTTAAACGTTCTGCTTCACCACCTTCAATATTCGTAATAAGACAAATTACAGACATACTCGACCTATCAGTACAATCACTGCCCACAGCCTCTTCCAACCAGCTAACCAGTATAGCCGGACTGCAGCTCTGTGTCTACATCATGATGCTTGGTGCTCAAACACAGTCAAAGTTCATGTACAATGTTTCACCAGCTGTCGAGTTAAATGTAAAGATGCAGACCATATTATCAACTATGTTGCTGCTGCTGTTTACATACACTCCTATGAGATTAATTCATTATCAAGCTGAAGCCCTAAATATATCTAATTAACTGATCTTTTGGAAGTGTTAGTATATAAAATAGGCTTGATA